TTTTTTTCCACTCCTGGGTCTGTATCTCTTCATTTTCATGGTGTGCTGAATTGCAGCATTACCTGCAGGCTGGCAGGTGTTCCCTCCCTCCCTCTGTGTTGTGGAGTTCCTTGGTTTTGTCCTGGGGATGATTGTAAGGGCCAGTCCCAGCAAGGAAAGATCTGGGAGTGCAGCTGGGTTGTGGAATGACCTGAAATGCTTTGAACATCTTCTCCCAGAGCAGCATTCCATGGTAGCACCTCTGCTCTTTGCTGTGGGATCAAACTGCAAACAACACAAGAAACAACAAACAGAAGAGAGATATTTTTTTGTTGTTAGAATAAAGTAGTGTGGCATTAAGTTGCTGTAGGTATTGGAGCATGTACTGAATTTGAAAGCAGACATGTAACAAGATTTTCCCCTGTTCTTTTCCAACTGTTCCTTTTAGTTGTCTAATATTTGTTTATTTTTTTTAATTCTGGTTTGTAAAATTTCAATTCAGACCAAAAGTTCGAAGCATAAAGGTGTTAAAACATGTTTTCACATAAGGTCATCTATACTTAAGTAGAGGTCATAATGAATTTTATGATAAAGTTTAATGACAGAGTTTGGGAAAAAACCCTTATCCAATTTAGAAACTTCTGCCTGTTCTACTGTTCTGTTCTTACTCTGCTTCAGACCACCCTGATGAATGTAATTGCTCATCAAAGAACAAACAGCAACCTGCTTTTGAGCACAGTGTGGGAATTTTAAGGGATATGATCTAAATCTGGTTTCTGTGGGTATTGTGTGCCGAGAGATGAGATTGCCTCCTTCCTCTGTCCGTGTCATTGCAATCTGGCAACGCTTCCTGGCAGCAAATGCCATTATTTTTTGGGTGCTGTGGCACTGGAGGCAGTGTTGGCATCACTGCTCAGGTCCAGCTGGAATGTCTGGCTCCCTTGGGATCAGTGAGAATTCCCGTTGGCCAAGAGCCCTTCAGGTGGCACCAGTGGGACTCCAGGGGGATGTTGGGCTGGTGAAGGAGAGCCCTTTGGTTGACATGGAGCTGGACCAGCGGGATCCTCCTGCTCTGGAGCCCCCTGGGCTCTGCCCCACCCTGCTGGGAGGAGGCTGCTCAGGTTATCCGTGCTCAGGAGGTGATTCCCTATCCCAGAACAATGTCAGTGGAGCTGAAGCTCGTGCAGCATTCCCACTTGAGCAGTTCCATGCTCTTTCTGGGTCAGTCATGCCCTGTGCAGGGCAGAAGCTGGGGGTGACCCGTCGCTCCCAGAGCTCGGGGCGATGACGGGAAACCTCCGGTGGCCCAGGAATGGGAAGTTCTCCAGCTGCAGCTCTGGCTTGGACGTGTCAGATGCAGCCAAGGATTGCTTAGTGCTGCTCTTCACACTCAGCATCTGGGTCTGAGGGCGTTGCTTCAGGCTCCATCTGTACGTGATGCAAGCAGGACAAGTTTGCTTTGTGGGGTTTTTTGGGGAGGAGGGAAGAAGATGCTTCCTTTAGAGTCATGGGACAGGGTGGGATTGTTGAGGTGTCCTGTGCAGGGCCAGGAGTTGGACTGGATAATCCTTGGGGGTCCCTTCCAATTCCTGACGTTCCATGATTCCACGATTTTAGGGAGTCAGGCTGAGTTTTATGTTAATGTCTGTGTTACCCGAGACTTTCCAGGTGATGTTGTGCAGAAGATCCTGCTGGAGACTGTGGACTGGTTGGTACAAGAGGTTAAACGGGGTTTAAAAGCTAAATTTTTCTTGGAATCCCGTTGTCCAGATGCAGGTGGTGGAGTTTGACACACTGGGAGAATAGAAAGAACTAAGGGAGTGTGGGATTAACAAAAGAACTTGTGTGTGTGGGACGAGCCATTGTGGCATCACATCATCCCATTGCCCCAGATGAGAGCTGCTGGAGCGCTGGCAGAGCTGCAGGACTGGGAAGGGCAGGGATCTGCAGGACTGTTTTCCCCTCCCTGGGCTCCCCCCTTGCTGGGAGCTGGGATGAGGGGACTGGAGCTGTGACCTTTGGGTGCCT